GGCACTGATTATTTTAAAACTAATTTAACTTCAAATACGTACAACATAATTACAGGTTATTTGTAAATCCACTGCTGGATGAAGGCCTCCCCCTATGTCATGTCGGTCATTGTGGGTTGTTTGGTCATACTTTGAGCTCCTCCGGCGGGCAAGGCTGCGATGGCTGGGTCATGTAGCCCGCATGCCCAGCCACCGCATGCCGAAACAGATTTTGTTCGGCCGGATCGAGGGGGCTAAACGGGCGCGGCACTGGCTAGAGAAGAGATGGAGTGATGTGGTACAGAAGGACGTGGAGCTGAGTGGACTTGCCGATGACTGGTACCAGCGGTGTCAAGATCGGCCTCTGTGGAGGAGGCTCGTGAAGGACGCTACTGGGCAGTTGGAGGCAGTCGCCCTCCAACAACAACGGAGGGCGGAGGAGCGACGCTCACAACAACGAGCGGAGCGCCGGGTGGCTAAAGCACAGCCAGATGGCACAGTAGGGGGCACAGGTGGTGCATCAGCCAGTCATCTCAGTCATCTCAGTCAGTCGATCTGTGGCACCTGGGCGTTCGACACTTCACGTGGCCTCAAGGTGCACATGGCCTGGCACAAGCGTCGTGGTGACGTCACCGCCACTTAGTGGCGAATGGCGGTTGTTGTTGTTTGTTGGTCATACTTCACCATGCTGGTCAATGCGGGTTGATGAAAGGAGAGGAGAGATGGAAGTAAACCAGTTTAGGTAGTAACTGCCACTGATGTTAGCGATGTTAGTGATGTTAGCCGTGGCCGGGAATCAAACTCAGGTGGGTGTGCAGGCGATGTAGCTACCCCAGGGGGCTGCTAGCAAGGGGGGGGGGACAACAGGTTACAAGGCTATGAAGAGGGGGGGGGGGGGTGGAGGATTGGACAGGGGAGGGCCCATTTCACTCCTTGCACCGGAGTCCCATGCCAACCACACAAACATTCCCGGACTCCCACTGGCACATCCGAGCCGACGCGGGGGGGGGGGGGGGGGGCTTCACAGTACAGGTTGTGCTCCATTGGTTATCTGCCAAACCAAGCAAAAACCAAACAGATATGCTGGTCTCGTATCTGAATGTGGCTTCGGGCCAAGCAGGGCCAGGGATGGTGGTGGTGGGGGGGGCTGATAATGGCCCATTCATTTTTTGTGACGTTAAGTCCGCAACTCTGTGAGAACACAGCATCACCTCATCAGCATCTACACGGGTCTCAAATTGTTAATTGCATGCAAAGTATATCCTTAGTTTTTTCGGTAAAGTCACGTTGAAGGGAAACAACAAAATAATAAAATATATATAAAACAATAAAAAAATTCTCACGTTTCGACCATAACTCAAACGGTCGTCTTCAGGTGTGTTGCTTTGCATAAATTTATTTTTAAACGGCGCAAAATGTTTTTTTTATGCAAACCAATACACCTGAAGACGACCGTTTGAGTTATGGTCGAAACGTCGTGAGAATTTTTTTATTGTTTTATATATATTTTATTATTTTGTTGTTTCCCTTCAACGTTACTTTACCGAAAAAACTAAGAATATGAATTACTGCAGTCACAAAAGCTTTAAATCAAAATTTGCATGCAAAGTAGTCGGTGTCACGGCTCGGCTTCTGCAGTGGAAAAACAACCTGGCGTCTCCCCGCTGCGCTTTGACCCTGGCACCCCCAAGTTCAATTCCCGCTCACGGCCAACACCAGTGACGAATATCTGAACCGGTCCTGAGCCTCCCCTAGGTCGACTCGGCCTCACATTAATACCTGGTGCGATGTGTAAACGTCGCCACTGAGGAGACAAAAGGCAGCCAAGGCGTGCTGCTTGGCCATCCCATCCCTTCGTGTGCCACTCCGGGCTTCATAGGTACTCGCTAACAGCACTTGCCCCAACAGTCTGTGAAGGCTATACGGGGGGGGGGGGGGGTCTTTTTCTTTGTTACAGACGACGTCATTTTTTTCAGTGTGCCTTGGGCGGCGAAACTCCGAAGACGACGAGATGTCGACGCTGTACGAGACAAAGGCCATCCTGCGCGGGGCCGACGCCGTGTGCTTCGATGTGGACAGCACTGTCATCACGGACGAGGGCATTGACGAGCTCGCCAAGTTTTGCGGAGTTGGCGACGAGGTCACGGAGTGGTACGTGTGGCCTGGGGCACGCGGGGGAGGAGGGGGGGGGGGAGAGTCCCAGGGCATTCCACAGATTATGCAACCTCAGTCAGAAGTTCAAAGATTACGCATATCCACACTTAATTGTTTGTATTACTCTTACAGCCCTTTGTGAATGCATTGCTGGATGAAGGCTTCCCTTGTACCGTGTCTGACATGGGGATTGTTTAACCATACTTCATCATGCTGGTCAAGCGCGGGTTGAAGGATGGGAGCCCCCATCCTTCAACCCGCGGTTCAGATATCACTCACCACCAATATAATCCGTGACCAGAAAGTGAACTCTGATCGCCGGGTTCATCGCACCGTGCATGAAACCACCGCACCACTGCTCCACCCCACGTTATTATCTGTATACTGCACTGCAATTTGATCTTTAAACATGAACAGGTCACGTATGCATTCTCAGTTTTAAATTAACCCTGTAGGCTACCTGCCTGCCTGGCACCACCACCACCACTATTGTCAGTCAATCTTTGGTGTGTTCGTCCTGTGTTCTCACATTGCAGGACAAAACGGGCCATGGGAGGTGGTGTGTCCTTCCGCACTGCCCTGAGGGAACGGCTGAACATCATCCGGCCAACCTGCGATCAGATAGCGGAGTTGCTGCAAGTGAAGCCCCCACAACTCACACCTGGAATACGGTGAGGACGAGCTTCAGGCATTCAATCCGTGTTTGCTTACAGGCAGTAGTAACATGTGTAACCCATGCAGTGTGAGAGTTATGTTACTTGTTAATAGGCAGGGCTTAATTGCATCCCTGGGTCTTTTCGTGAAAATGTCCCAACACCACTTACAGCACATCCAGTGTACCTCTATGGCTGTGGATCCGAGTTCAATGCCTCCTCCAGTTTGCCAGCGACCCGGCGAATATTCAGTGTGAAATTAATTCCTGTTAACAGGCTGGGCTCTTAACACACTCTGGGTTGCTTATTCATAGCAACTGCATTGGTTTTCACCGTCGTGCTGTATAGTTCTGCAATGTGTTATTTTGGGTTGTACCGCGTATTGTACAAACTCGAAATCACACCGGGGAGACTTATTAGAAGATCACTTTTTTTCTTGCAAGCAGAGCATTACCATTACTTTCATACTTGAATGCACTTAAAATAAGCCTAACACACAGTCCTCATGGTTTTCTTGTATGCGGAGCAGGGAGCTCGTGTCTTGCTTACAGCGGCGAGGGGCCCACATATTTCTCGTGTCTGGCGGATTCCGCTGCTTGGTGGAGATTGTGGGCCAAGAGCTCTCCATCCCACCGGAAGACATCTACGCCAACCGACTCTCGTTCTTTTATAACGGTGGGTTCTAAAGAAAGACTGCCGAGCAGTGTGTCGTATTTGGATAACCTGTTCTCGCTGACACGTCTTTGCCAGACTGACCAACCTGTTGTCCATGCGATATTTCTATATGGAACACATGTATGTATGTTGAACTTCTTTCGCACCGTACGTAGTCAACCGTTGCTTCATCGGAGGTGTGGGGGAAGGACGGCAAACCAAACATAATTGTTAAAAAATGTGTCACGTGGAAATAATACCAATGACCGAATTGCCCAGAATGTGTCGGATCCAGTTAGATCTCAAAAAGTATAGCAGGGTTGTGCCTGGAGTGTTTGGATGGGCAACCACTAAACATTAAAATGTGCTGTAAGTTTCTGTGGGGCGAGGTGCTGAACAGCAGAGGGGAAGTGCAGCAAAATGCACTGTATTGTTAGTGCTGACAAGCGTGATAAAGTATAATAAAAAAAAACTCGCATGACCTGCACAGCGTGGGGAGACCATATTGCAATGGACAAAAGGGGCTGTAAATGTACATGTGCTATAATGCAAAGTTGTTGATATAACATTCAAGTGATGTTTTGTTTGGTAGGCGAATATGCCGGCTTTGATGAATCTCAGCTGACATCCGAGTCGGGAGGGAAGGGCAAAGTAATTGCAGCAATCAAGGCAAAGTACGGCTACAAGCAAGTAGTCATGATTGGTGATGGAGCCACAGATATGGAAGCTTGTCCACCAGCTGTGAGTGTACATTTATTTTCACCTGTTGCTACACCTTGGTCTGTTTTACCCATGATGGTCCACACCGATGCAATGAGTTTATATACAATGTTGCCGTTTTGCGTTCAACAGGGCCCCATCGTTTAGACGCTTTTGCCAATGACATCTGCCAACCCATCAGGATTTAACAAGCATGACTGCTGTTGAGACCCAGAAAATAAAAAAACGGGTCCAGAGTTTGCTTGCTGAAACAAATGCTGTTGGATAATTATATTAGCCTGGAAAGCCAATCGGCAAATGACAGAAAATATTATATCTGTATGTGGAGACACATAAACAGAGTTTTGGCTGATATATGCTATTACCCATGATTTTCCACAACGTATGATGTGTATTATTTTTCAAAACACATTTATTCAACCATGGAATTTCGTTTCTGTGTTCATAAAAACTTGCACCTCCTATGCATGTTTAAGTTTGCAACCTTTTTATACATTCCATGCAACCTATAATTTACTAAAATAACATCATATACTCATTGACGAGCTTTTCCTTTTCTGTGGCCCCAGGATGCATTCATTGGCTTCGGAGGGAATGCAGTTCGATCCCAAGTTCAGGAAAACTCCAAGTGGTTTGTCACCAGCTTCCATGAGCTTTTGCATGAGCTGGAATCTGCAAACGGCTGTATCTAGAAGCTTTTGGTCTGATCGACTGTGTGTCTAGTGCTCAGTTTAGTAAATCTAAGCAGGAATAGAGGTGGCAATCTATACAAGCGACCTTATATGTTCAACGGCAATTACTGAAAATGTACTGTATTGATGGAATAAAACACATTAATGCTTTTTAAATGTGGAACCAATTTTAATTTACAAATGCAATAGCATATGTTTAGTATGTCCTAATTGTGGTAATGGCCAGTGTTGGTATATGGTGCATAGCAACTGCTTACTAATGGATACATTGCTGCATGTTTACGCATTTGTGTAATGATGACAAGAATCATCATGATTTTGTAAAGAAACTTTTGAAAAATATTTAAAAGTAGTTTTTAGATATTTCAAGAAGGGGGGGGATATTTTCTAAAATAAGGGTTCTTGTATTGATTTCCCTTAAGCACAGGGTATGAGAATTCTGTTAAAATGTTATTTTACAACTGTTGCATTTTAATATGATGTTACGTATTGTGGTTTACATTTGCTTTTTCATGTATGACTTGAAAATATCATTTGCAAAGTCTCCTCTGTCCCCAATATTGGTTTCTTGAAGTTAAATAATCTATCTAAATGCATTTTAAGCTATTATTGTTGATTACATTTCATTTGTGAAATTATAACCCTCTACGTACACCTTATGTACACGTGTGGAATGAAAAACAAACAAATGCAGCACTTATGTTCTCTCAGTGTCATAAACGATGATAAAATTTCATTGAGAAACACTATTATTCACCGAGTCTGTCATTTTCTATTGCTCTTGCTGGAATTCTTGCCGCTGGAATTGCGCCCTTCGATGCTGGCGAGCCTTTCAGCCAACTGCTGTTCGCTCTGCTTCATCTGTTCGGCGATGGTGGCATGCACATGGGAAAGCTGTGCCGAGAGCTCCCGCTGAATGTAGCTCTTCAGATCAGTCTTTTCCTCTAAACCCGACGCGCACACACACACACGTAATACAGTGCACAGATTATATGCGTATTGGCCATGAACTAAAACTTGATTGTGGCGACATGACAGTCTGGCAGTCTGGCACAAATGCAGCAATTCAGCCATCTGGCGTTCACTGTAAGATTAGCTGTGGCGAAATCACTTGCGGTGCAGGTTTCCCATCTGCGTTAATGCGCTTTGTATGAAAGCTGTAACGGACCAACCAACAGCAACGGAAATGTTTTACCTTCTACAGAGGATGCAGGTTGTTCGGGAACTTCATTGGCAATGACAGCTGGAGGCCCTTGTTCCATACAGTCCGTGTCTTGGCTTACTTTGTCCCCTTCATTGTCACCCCCTTCATTGGCATCCGCTTTTATCAAAACAAAGCAACAAGTCACGTATTATTACTTTACAGTAATTGTGCTACATTTAACAACACACGTGTGCATTGCATGTACAAAAGCTCCCACCATTATCCAGACCACCAGCTCAAAAGAACTGAATGTGTGGCCATTTTATCATTTATACCACCAACCAGAATAGTCTACGAGCTTTGTAAATGCAGTGCGCACACCTTTGTGTGTTGTTAAATGTATTTTATTCCAGCCTGAATTACGTTTTATGCTGTGATGGGTTTCCTCATCAATTACAAATTCGAAAGAAAAATGCCGTTTGGTAAAATATTAACTGACCCAGTTAAAGCTCGTGTGTGTGTGTGTGTAAAGCAGTAATGGAGAGACAGGAACACATGGATTTGAGAACAAATCTCAAATCGGAGGAACTGACTTACGTAAGTGGGCTTGAGTGGGACACATCTCAATCAGGGAACATGGACAACACTCGTGTAGCATGTGGGTGGGTGTATTGAGCAGTGGATAGACTGACCGATGAGGAATGTAGGCCATTCCAAAATAAAGGAAACTTACCGTCTGGAGAGGATGGGGATTCTTCATCCAGGCCCGTGTACGAGATCGATAAATCTAAACGCACCTGCACAAAAGTTACGTGTAAACATTCAGACATCTCCATATATATAAAAGGCAAAGTTGTGATTATGTCTATTCAAAATGTTTCGCGTACTTCCCGACATGCAACAAACTTGAAATTTGCCATGTGGGTACTTTCCAGACTATATTGGTGGGGGGGAGCTCAATAATGCATATATTTTTTTGCACGGCAAGTGAGATGTGACGTCAAATCTGTCATGTGACCCGCGTTTGATTCCCACTCACGGCCACCACCGGTGACGATTATTTCAACTGGTCCTGGGCCTCCCCTAGGTCGACTCAGCCTCAAACGAGTAACTGCTGTGGTGTGTAAACATCGCCACTGGGGAGACAAAGGCGGCCGGGCGTGGTGCTGTCACCCACCCCCTCGTCTATATATAAAAGGGACATTTGTGAAAGTGTGTCTGTCTGAAATGTTAAGCATACTTCCCAACATGCAACAAATTAGAAATTTGGCATGTGGGTAGCTTCCAGACTGTACACAATGCAACAAGTATATAAATAGACTTTGTATTTTTTTTGGGTGGGGGGGGGAATGACCACGAAGTGTGTGGCGTCAACCCACATACAGGGCTGGCAAAAATCGATAACCGGTGAGCGTTTGTGGTATCGATTAAACGGGAATAGGCAGATTCTAAAGAAATCTACAACCTTCGATTGCTTTGCGCGATTTAAAGAATCGAATCTCTGGCGCGCGAGCGTTAAGTTTTTTTTCCACCGCGCGTCGGCTTTCATTTTATTTTTAATTAATGAGGTAATGATCAAAGTTTTCTTTTCATTTGTATATGTTATGTTTTTAAGTTTTCAGAAGTTTTAAAATATATTTTTGCCCCCGGGCAACGCCGGGTATTTCCCGCTAGTTTTTACATATTTTCAACCATATTCTTGGTTCTTTCGGTAAAGTCACGAAGAAGGGAAACAATAAAATAATAAAAATATAAAACAATTAATTATCACGACGTTTCGACTGCAACACAAGCAATCGTCATCAGGTGTGAAAACCACAGCAAGAAATTTTGAAAAAAAGTGGAGTTTTTTTAAATGTTAGCACCACGGAGAGCGATTTGGCAGTTTGTTCAGATGTACGAGTCCATCTTATGTTCGGAAAAGAGGAGGGGGGAGACGAAAATAATGGATGCGGTCTGAAAGCCACCGTAAGCGTGAACAATCAATTAAGACCCGAAATGGTTTATCAAATCCTTCCAATGATTGCTAAGCCAGAATCCATCTTCTCGGTTGAAATTGTCTCTGTGTTTGTATATGTGGATAGCCTCATGAACTAATCTCTCATGGTAGCCAGATGCCTTGCAAAGAACCTCTGTCTTGGAGAAGTCAATATTATGTGAGCCTACTGAATTATAACAGTGATCTGCCACGGCCGAGGTGTTAGTCCTACCGTGTTTTAGGTCTGCTTTGTGTTCACGAATGCGGTCCGAGACATGTCGTTTGGTTTCTCCAATGTAACTACTACATAGAGGCAACTTAGTTTGTAGATGCCAGGGTACTGTATGTCCGGAATCACATCTTTTACAGACGGAACCAGATCACGGATTTTATGTAATGCGTTGAATCGGACCTGGATCTTGTGTTTATTCAAGATTTTGGAGATCTTTTTTGTGATCCCCGCAATGTAGGGTAAAGTGAAAGGCTCCTCAAGAGGGTCCTTCTTCATGGTAGGAGTGATAGCTTTGCAGATTGTGTAGTCGGAGTAACCATTAGCCTTAAGAGCTTGGTGTACATACTTGAGTTCACTGGCTATGTGTTCCTGGTCGGATATGCATTGGGCTCTATGGTGCAGAGTCTTGATGAGGGAATTCTTCTGGGATGGATGGTGGTGGGAATCCGGTTTCAGGTAAGCATCTGTATGGGTAGCTTTCCTGTAGACAGAGTGGCTCATTGAACCATCAGGTCTCTTTTTTATTAGGACTACACAATCTGCAAAGCTATCACTCCTACCATGAAGAAGGACCCTCTTGAGCCTTTCAAGACCATCACTTTACCCTACATTGCGGGGATCACAAACAAGATCTCCAAAATCTTGAATAAACACAAGATCCAGGTCCGATTCAACGCATTACATAAAATCCGTGATCTGGTTCCGTCTGTAAAAGATGTGATTCCGGACATACAGTACCCTGGCGTCTACAAACTAAGTTGCCTCTGTGGTAGTAGTTACATTGGAGACACCACACGACATGTCTCGGACTGCATTCGTGAACACAAAGCAGACCTAAAACACGGTGGGACCAACACCTCGGCCGTGGCAGATCACTGTTATAATTCAGTAGGCTCACATGACATTGACTTCTCCAAGACAGAGGTTCTTTGCAAGCCATCTGGCTACCATGAGAGATTCGTTCATGAGGCTATCCACATATACAAACACAGAGACAATTTCCGCCGAGAAGATGATTCTGGCTTAGCAATCATTGAAAGGATTTGATAAACCATTTCGGGTCTTAATTGATTGTTCACGCTTACGGTGGCTTTCAGACCGCATCCATTATTTTCGTCTCCCCCCTCCTCTTTTCCAAACATAGATGAACTCGTCCATCTGAATAACTGCCAAATCGCTCTCCGTGGTGCTAACGTTTAAAAAAAAAACGCCACTTTTTCTAATTTTCTTGCTGTGATTTTCACACCTGATGACGATTGCTTGTGTTGCAGTCGAAACGTCGTGATAATTTTATTGTTTTATATTTTTATTATTTTATTGTTTCCCTTCTACGTGACTTTACCGAAAGAACCAAGAATACGAATCCCTGCAGTCACGAAAGCTTTAAATCAATATTTTCAACCAATCGATGCATTTTATTTTGCAGCTTACCGTTGGGGTGAAGACATACTTGTAGAGTTTATAGTGTCGAAAGTAAGTGTTTACAACATAATCCATGATCAGTTTCACCTCTTCGGCATTGAATAAATCGATGCTAAATGGAGGTCTCTGTAAGAAAACGTGGAACGATGGTTAATTTATGCTGTTATTTTGGGACCAAACGTTTAATGAATAAGCGTTCAATCTTTAGGGGTGCTCAATTACTGGAAGAACACAGCGTCAAGAATAAGGCTTACTCTGACTGCATGGCATAACACGAGCTCCCTGAAGTATGAGAAGCACTGCTCCAAATTCCCCAGTGGAGTCTCTGAAAATTGAAATTACGTAACTTAATAAAAAAATGAATCGCAGCTTCCAACAAATGGGTCATTCATTTCAAAAAGGTGTGTACAGAACTAAGGTCCATAACTATCGTGTTAACTCTTCATAGTGAACAAGACCAATGTGTTTCTAAAAAAAGACTGGTGGTTACATAAGCACCAAGAAATGTACGTTGCAATAAGTGTGTTTTGGTCCAAGTAGAAAAAAATGTGGACTCACCAGTGCAGACCTCATGTGTCCGCTTGACTATTGTGAACAAAACGGACGTTTGTTCCTTGTTAAAGTTGTGCTCACGTGCAAACTGCACCGTGTAGAAATACAAATCCAACTCAACTTGGGTCCTCTCTTCATCCATGTGCTGCCTCAGACCTAGGACATCTGACAGTGTCCTGTGGAAGTGTATCCCAAAAAAAATTGGTATCATGCCACTTGCACTCAGCATCATCAGCAGTTGTAATCCGCTGCTGTATAAAAGCCTCCCCAAGTCGTCGCCATCTCTCATGATGTAACAAACCATCGAGGACCTGCACACGAGCTGATTTCAACGCTTTATCTTTTTGGTGGACGCAATTGGACACGTCCCAGTCCTTGTCTGCCACTATAACTAACAAAAACCCATCATGCATCATCCATTCAAGTGACTTGTCTTGCACAAACCCACGTACTCTACTGTCTTAACAATTTAAATTATATTATTGGTTCTTTCGGTAAAGTCACGTAGAAGGGAAATAATAAAATAATACGAATAAAACAATACAATTCTCACACCTGATCATGATTGCTTGTGTTGCAATCGAAACGTCGTGAGAATTTTATTGTTTTATCTGTATTATTTTATTATTTTCCTGTGAGAATTATATTGTTTAATTTGTATTATTTTATTATTTCCCTTCTACGTGATTTTACCGAAAGAACCAAGAATATGAATCCCTGCAGTCACGAAAGCTTTAAATCGAAGTTTGAATGATGTTATTGGTCAATACAACTGGTGAATAAATTGCCCTACTTGCGAGCAGGTCAAATTGTATGTCATCACAGTTCCAAGCGTGATAGTAGCTAAGCACAGAAATATTTCTGTCGTTTCAGCCTTGGGCAGGGCAACACACAATGATTATCTCACACAGCAATGTGGAAAGAAAGGCTTACTCGCGTAACTGATGGGCTGTCACCGCTTGCTCCAAAAGGTCCATGTTATTCACGGTCAAGTCGGCCCTGGTGAGAGCAGAAGAGAATCACACTGCATATAATAGCAGCTCCAATTAACAATGTATATATTGTTGATAAGCAAATCACAAGAAACATGCTACTGCAGTCACAGCTACAGTGGGTATCCGTCAACTATAGCATGAACAGAGTCAGGTCTGAAATATCAAAATGTATTCTTCACTTATGAAACATGCGTTATTTTGAGAAAAGACTTACCATAAGCAAATGCGAGCTTTGTGCTCCTTTGGCTTAACATGAAGAAAAGAAACACAATTAGTGCATTCTCATGGACATTATTTGACCATACTTCCCCATGCTGGTCAGCGTGAGTTGAAGGTGTGTGAGGGGCCCAGGATCAATTCAGACATCGCTCGTCACTGTTGTCCGTGGCCAACAATCTAACTCAGGTATTCAGATTTACACTGCAGGTGTGCCAACCACTGTGCCACCTCTACACCCTGTATTCTCATATAAGAACATCTAATGTGACTTGATATTTAAACCAATGTAGCACTCATTGTTTCAATTAAATCATGGGCAGGTTTCTTTACTGCCTGTGTGATGTGAGTTTGAAGCCAGCAGCAGCATGGTTAAACTCTATTTAGTAACATTGGAGTTTGGAGGGGGATAAGTATTGGTAACCCACCTCTATCAATTTAAATTAGTTTATCAAACTGGTTCTAAGTATTGTTAGTACATGACACCTCAATTTGTATCGAACAACCAGTCGAATGGCAATTGATTTTGCTGCATAAGCCGTAGACCCAATGAATTCGTCATTAACCGCTATCCTGCCAAGGGTCTGGTCCTTTGTTGGGATTTACTACTATAATGAGCCAAGAATGTGTGTAACGCGTGTGACGTCACTCTACATGCCCCCCCCCCCCCCGTCATTAATATTCATGAACGGGTGGATTTTTACACTCACGCAGAAGCTCGAGCGGAAATGTTTTTTCGGAAATTCGCTATAAGTTTGACGTTTCTTCATTGAAAGTAAATCTAATAAATAATTCTACACTGCAACAAAGTGGATATGGTGTCTTTCTTTCTTCAGCACTTGAAACAAAAGGAAAGCATGCTTCTACGTTATGGTAAAATAGATATTTCTCGGTGATTTTCCAGATATTGTTATCGAATTCCAATTTATTTCAACCCCAGAGACCGAAAGCATAAGAGAATAAAGTATCAGAGCGGTGAATTTGAACAAATTGAAGGTCAGTTATATACAGTGCTACAATGACATTAAGTTGTTTTATGACATACTTTTGTGCAAGCATCACTGCCATTAATAGTGCTACAGTGAACTGCAGCGACGTGTTTGATGACATACTTTCTTTCGTGCAAGATTCACTGCCATTAAATTTACACACAAGATGAAACTCTGCTCAATTTTTTGCGCAAATATTACAGCTTTCGTCAGAGTACGGGCAAACAAGCTAGTGCTAAATAAACAAAAAAACAATGCATCCTTAACAACACACGGGAAGCGAAGGAATGGATTAGCAATGATCATGCAAAGTAGGTACAGTATATCCAGCTTTCGGTTGCTACCTGTCCAAAATTGGCACCTTTGAATCAGAATCTTTCATTAGACTGGAGGAATCCGATGAGCTATAAAGCTCTTTTTCACATATGTCCAGCAAGTTGTTAGGGTGGCAACGAATTAATTTGTACCGATACTTGGTCATATCGTATTAAACGTTATCTGAGTGCAATATATTTCACAGCTATGATGTACCTACGCTCACTGAAAAATGTCCGGGTTTTGGTCTGTGGTGGAAAAAAAGGTGTTGTTCAACCCTCATCTAGATGATTCCATCAGTCTGCAGTTGGAATGTCGTTCTCTCTCCTGCTGCTCCAAATTCTGACGAATGTTGATCCTGATGGTCTGTATTACTGAATCCACGCCTTTATTAAACTACTTGCTAAGCCTTTACCTCTTCTCACCCGCCTACGATTCACGAATGCCTCACGATGCAATGTCTTCGATGCTATTCTCATTTGCACTTCAGCAGATCCCTCTTCAAATGAGTATCTACGCGTTGTCAAAAACTATGTTACTTAGCCGGTGTCTCACATTTCCTACATTTGGACGCTCGATAAGGTACAAATCCGTTGGCAGCATTGTGGGCAGTTCAGCAAAATCCACTGTTGTACTGCACTATGCCCCCAGCGTCTATGTCCCCCCACCACCACCACCTTCACACTGACCAACGTGGCGTGCAGGTACAAATAGCCCCTTGCCAATCCACTGCTGGATTGATGGCTTCCCAACACCTGTGAGGGTTACCTGACCATACTTCACCACGCTGGTTAGTTGGAAGAGGGGGGGGGGGTGATGGCGGGGGCCCTGGGAGCATAGATGTACATAACAATATATTTTCCTGTCAATGCCCTTCCATCCACTGGCTATCCAGCCTCATTCCCGCTTAGCTTTCGAGGTCTGAAATTGGTACAGGGTGGTGGTCCAGATGTCTTGTGACTCCCCCACCCCTCCCTCACCAATGAATTGCTCCTTCACATATTCATTTCTGTTTTTTTCATAAATCTTACTTTTAAAACGAATACATTTACTTTAAGATAATTAAATAGGAGTGGGGGGGGGGGTCGCAAGACATCTGGACCACCCCCCCCCCCCTCAAGTACAGTACAAAAGATGTCGGTTTATGTTTTGATTTAAAGCTTTCGTGACTGCAGTAATTCATAATCTTAGCTCTTTCGGTAAAGTCACGTTGAAGGGAAACAATAAAGTATATAAAACAATACAAATTCTCAACGTGACTTTACCGAAAGAGCTAATAATATGTCGGTTTATATTTACAACTGATTTGGAGTTGGCAGAGCTACATTAATTTTTTTGTTATAAATAAATAAGTTTTATTTTTAACAAGTCCAACTTAACCTTTGCAAAAGGGCGCAACGCTGCACGGTCTCCCCAAAGAGAAATTTAATCGCCGCCGCCCTCCCACAACCACCACGGCCTCTTTCTTACATAACGCGCATCGCAGCGAAAGGCCGTCATACAGTGCGAGGGTTTATCTCGCTCTCTCTTTTACCTGTTTAATTTTTGCACTCATCGTGCAGGCTCGTTGTACGCACGTGCTAACGTTTAATCGGCTTTGACGACGACGAGGACGAAGACGACGACTACGAGGAGCGTCCTCTGCTTCACAACCCCGCCGGTTTAAGTCGAATAAAACTACAAAATATAATCCGCGGCGGGCGTTTGGAATTGCCCCCCGCCTCCCAGAGTCGCCGTCGCCACGGCAACGGGGTTCGCGACCCGTCGCCACGTGTTGCCAGATGAGAGGGGTTACAACAAACAAAAAAACCTCTAGAATTTTTGCGTGTTTGTGTGTGTGTTTGTAAAAAGAAATAAACTTCGGCATAATTTTTCTACGATCAAATAATATTCGTGATATTTATTTACTGGGCACCTGGACACGCGGGCGGGGTTACGTCCGCTCGGCTGGCCTGGGAACGCCTGCGAATTCCCCAGGAAGAGCTAGAGTTTGTGTATAGTAGTGTATAGTGTAGTGTATAGTAGTGTATATTGTAGTGTATAGTGTAGTGTAGTAGTGTATAGTAATGTAGAGTTAGAGTCCGTGTATAGCAGTGTATAGTTTAGTGGATAGTAGTGTATAGTGTAGTAGTGTATAGTGCAGTAGTGTATAGTGTAGTGTACAGTGTAGTGTAATGTATAGTAGTGCATAATGTAGTGTATAGTAGTGTATAGTGTAGTGTATCGTGTAGTGTATAGTAGTGCATAATGTAGTATATAATAGTGTAGTGTATAGTAGTGTAAAGTGTAGTGTAAAGTGTAGTGTATAGTAGTGTATAGTGTAGTGTATGTAGTAATGTATACAGTAGTGTTATAGTGTAGTGTATAGTGTAGTGTGTGTAGTAATGTATACTGTAGTGTATAGTGTCATAGTGTAGTGTATAGTGTAGTGTATAGTAGTGTATAGTGTAGTGTGTGTAGTAATGTGTAGTGTATAGTGTCATAGTGTAGTGTATAGTGTAGTGTATAGTAACGCACACAGCTAGAGTCTGTGGCCAGGGAAAGGAAGGTCTGGACCGCCCTACTCGACACACTGCCGCTGCGACCCTCCCCGGGACAAGCGGAATGAGAAACGAACGAGGGGACGAATCTGTATTTATACCGGAGAAATCCGATGAGCTGCAAAGCTCTCTTTCACGGATCTCCACTCGGGTGCGGGTCACAGAACGTTACGACAACAAACAATACAAAAAAATACGATAAGAAGTGCAAAGTATAGGAAAAGCAAACAAATCACTTGAAAAAAAGAATGTGTAGTGGCATGGCGCTGGCTGCTGGCGAAAAAGGGGATCTGCGGCAGTCCTGACGTCAGCAGGCCACGTGATGGACACGAGACGGGGATCTAGGGGCACACCAGGAACCCGTCAGTAGGTTCCAGAAGGGGGGCGTGGCCGGGGGCGGAGCAAGGCCACGCTGGGGGTATAGGAGGGGCGCCCCCCCCCCCCCCCCCCACTTTGGGGGACCTCGGGGCGGTTTGCTGGAGTGGGATATCGGCGTGATCTTCAAGATCGTCGTTATCTTCAAGATCGTCATCGTCGCTGCCGTATTCACTCGATATAGCGCTGCTCGTGTTTTTTTGGTTTTTTTGTTTGTTTGTTGTGGTTGCACCCGATTCAAGAGCTGAATGGCTTACAGGGCTATACCAATATAAACTGAACTGAACTGCTAGATAGTTGTTGGCTGTTTCGGTTCAGCGCCGGCAGTGTTGGGCGGTTAGTGTTGTGTATAGGGTAGCAACAGTAATAGTGTGTACCCACGTGGTGTTGTGTATAGGGTAGCAACAGTGATAGTGTGTACCCACGTGGTGTTGTGTATAGGGTAGCAACAGTGATAGTGTGTACCCACGTGGTGTTGTGTATAGGGTAGCAACAGTAATAGTGTGTACCCACGTGGTGTTGTGTATAGGACAGTAATAGTGTGTACCCACGTGGTGTTGTGTGTATAGGGTAGCAACAGTGATAGTGTGTACCCACGTGGTGTTGTGTATAGGGTAGCAACAGTAATAGTGTGTACCCACGTGGTGTTGTGTATAGGGTAGCAACAGTGATAGTGTGTACCCACGTGGTGTTGTGTATAGGGTAGCAACAGTAATAGTGTGTACCCACGTGGTGTTGTGTATAGGGTAGCAACAGTAATAGTGTGTACCCACGTGGTGTTGTGTATAGGGTAGCAACAGTGATAGTGTGTACCCACGTGGTGTTGTGTATAGGGTAGCAACAGTAATAGTGTGTACCCACGTGGTGTTGTGTATAGGGTAGTAATAGTGTGTACCCACGTGGTGTTGTGTATAGGGTAGCAACAGTGATAGTGTGTACCCACGTGGTGTGTATATAGTAGCAACAGTAATAGTGTGTACCCACGTAGTGTTGAGTATAGGCTAGCAACAGTAATAGTGTGTACCCAGGTAGAGTTGTGTATAGGGTAGCAACAGTAATAGTGTGTACCCACGTAGTGTTGTGTATAGGCTAGCAACAGTGATAGTGTGTACCCACGTAGGGTGTGTATAGGGTAGCAACAGTAATAGTGTGTACCCACGTAGTGTTGTGTATAGGCTAGCAACAGTAATAGTGTGTACCCACGTGGTGTTGCGTATAGGGTAGCAACAGTAATAGTGTGTACCCACGTAGTGTTGTGTATAGGCTAGCAACAGTAATAGTGTGTACCCACGTAGTGTTGTGTATAGGCTAGCAACAGTAATAGTGTGTACCCACGTAGTGTTGTGTATAGGCTAGCAACAGTAATAGTGTGTACCCACGTAGTGTTGTGTATAGGCTAGCAACAGTAATAGTGTGTACCCAGGTAGAGTTGTGCATTATCCCGATGGTGTTCGTTCAATAAAAGAAGTGCCTCCAAGTATTACTGCCTACGAGTTAGTCTCTACAAATGTATACGAATAAAACTAAACAATTTTTGGTTATTTACCAGGTAAAGCCCATTAAGCTGTTAACTTATTTCTCAGAAGCAATCCTGGCCACAAATAATAGCTCAAGAAAGTGGCTTATCATGTGGAAATGTAGAGGAGCGAAATCGTCCAAATTGATGTTTCTAAAATGTGATTTAGATAGATTTAACACAACAAAATATAGCTTTGGTTTAATTGAGAACCATTAAAAATAACTAATTTGAGGAATGGGCGAAAACCCCTTCCAGCAATGTCTCGTCCACCAAGCATCCTTTAACCAGTTTAATGCCATTAACCCCTTGCCTGTGTTGCCCCAATTCACGCCTTCTCGAGCACGCTGTTAATGGCTAATATCTCTGAGACAACTAGAGATAACAATTGGACTGTGACACGGGGTGTGGTGGGGAAAAAAATCCCTCCACAATTTAAATTTGTACTTTATTATACCTTTTTTTGGCCATTGAGTGCAACAACCCACGAAGTGATTTGATACCAAGATGTTCCTAGCATCATAAAGAAACCTCCACCCCACAACTTACGTGCGGAACGTGCACGAATAAACTCGACAAGCCCGGTAGTGCCACACATGACCTAACTAGAAGTGTAAATGTGCAGCCCTGAAGTGGCTTGCTTGCGGCACTGCTGGTAGAAGGGTCTCCTCTGGAGAGAGCTCTGGATAAGTCACCCCTTTTGGAGTTTTTGGCCTACTCTTTTCCACGCCGGCTGTTTTTCTTTTCTTCTTTCGTATGGCATTGTGAAACGCGACAGTTTTTATTTTTCTCTCAATGATCTTCATAAATAAAATGCTGCAAAGGTTCCTCATCCCGTCCAATGATGTGGGGTTGACGCAGTGCGGATTTCAGCGATACCGCCAGGCTTTTCATGAGTGGAGCATTAATCGTTGATGTGCTCGATGGTTTAGACTTCACAGTCGCAGTTGGGTGATTCTCTGATGTTCCATTCATGGAACGTGTACAGCTCATCTGCCGTGTTGTGTTCCAGCGCAGTTCAGCGTAGTCCATAGTCGTCGCGGAAGAGAGAATCCCGGTACTTCCACTGTCGGATCGTGAATGATGTTTTTTGTTTGTTTTCCACGTCCATAGCCGCCCATGATTCAGACCACCGAGGTGGCGGTGTCTTTATTTTCGGCTGCTAGAACGGAGGCGCGCATCCAGAACGGTTTCCTCGATTTTAGCCTTGGGCGTGGGGGTTCATTTAGATCTTGATGGAGCGGCAGAGTGAAGTTTTTCATTATCTTATTGTAATCCTCCCCCATCACACTCTCATCAATATACACTGACCTGCTTGGTGTAGTGGGGTTAAATAATCCTCTTAGCTCACAAAGCGTTGGGAGGCCTTCATCCAGTAGTGGATTGACAAATCTGACTGCGCATTTCGCATAGTTTCCATGTTTACAAAGCCTTTCGAATCATTTCAATTTAACCAACGTGTACAGACTCATGGGGTTGAATTATGATATAAAAACACACTAGAAAGGGCTTTAAACTAAATTCCTATATTAAATGTAATATTATTTTTTGTCTGTTATTATTACTTATTAATCACATTTATGAGCCATGTATTTATGATTTACAATTAGCTTATTTTAGGTTAGATCGTGTAGGTACAATGTCAGTTTAAAAAAGAATACTTTTTATTGGTTGTGAAAGCATACGTAATAAAATAATTTATTACGCTATCTTGTTACAAATGTGGAAGTTTTTCAAACGTAGATAAAATTAAATAGCACTGCATTTGTAAATTCAGACGAGGGAGCTATCAAGATTTTTTTTTATTGGAATAGTTTTTGTTCACAGAGGTGACGATTTTACAGGTTTTGTGACATTGTTATCGTAAAGTTTATTTCTTCCAAGTTGTGATTTTATCAATAGATTATTTTATCTCTTTCTTATCTCACGCGTGACGAATGTAATGTTTTTAATACCCCTGTTCTAGTCGGTGACTTTGAGACTAAAAGAAGAGATGATTTGTACTTTGCACGTGGGCCCAGAGTGTCAGGGGGCCAAGATGTGACCAAAAATAATTTTCTTGGAAGGAGGCGACATTTTTTTAAAAATAAAAGTTCATGGATACAAATTCTCATTTTAGGCACGCTTGTATTTGTATCTAAAATCATCTGCTTATTTTCAGAATAGACAACTTGGCAGTGTTAAATTTTCGACTCGGCAGAAGCAGATTTTCACACCACATTCTGCAATTAGGAAAAATGCTGGATGGGCAATAGCCGTGGTACGGTGGTACAGACGCACGCG